GCCCCTCTTACCCATCACTGCCCTCTCGGGCGCTGCATCCTCCTCCACCTCTTCTTCCTCCCCATCAAAGTACTCCTCATCTTCCTCGGCTGCAAATGGGAACCCAGACGTCACCGCGGGGCCACCGGGAAGCACATTGGGTGCCACCAGGTTGGTAAAGGGACATCGGGGGGATCAGAGGCTGAATTACCGGCGTCGAAGTCCAGGACGCGGATGGCCTCGGCGAGGTGGTCCAGGCTCACCGAGAAGGCGTCCATGCTCTCGTAGCCCTGCTCGATCTTCTCCAGCCTCCCACCCTTGGAGGCCTCCACGATCCTGGGCAGGGAGAGCATGGCCATGTCCCCCCTGTCCCTTCACAGAGCTGGGGGACCGTGGGGCTTAGGGCATCCCCACGCCCACCACCTGGGCCCCCCATGGCCAAATTTTCCCCAATTTGGGCACTTACGTGTTAATGAGCTGCTTGGCGTTCTGCGGGGAGGAAGAGGAGAGGTGAGCAGAGCCGTGTGGCAGTGCCGGGATGTCCCCAAGCCTGTGGGACCCCATGCAGGCACTGACAGGGCAGGGAGGGAAGGTTTGGGGGTCTCACCATGAGGAAGGAGGCTCCCCTGGTCTCCTCCATGGCCTGGATGGCTGTCTCCACCAGCCGGCTCGACTTCTCCAACTGCTCCCGGTACTGGCGGATGAGGCCCTGGACAAAGCCGGTCTTGTCGCCCTGCTCGCGGGTGATGCGCTCCAGCAGCTCCCCCTTCTTCTCCTCCAGCAGCGCCGTTACCGCGTCAAAGCGAGCGCACAGCTCCCGCTTGGCCGCTTCGCTGTTCTCCTGTGGGGGACGAGGAGCAGGGGATGTCACCTCTGTGTCCCCCAGCACCGGGGGATCTTCCAGCTCCATCCCAAATAGTTTCACCCCTGGGTTTTGGAGGGGTCCTATTTCCCCTTTCCTCACCTCGGTGCTCCGGCATGAGTCCTCCAGCTGGGAGATGATGGTCTGGATGCGGTCGTTGCCCGCCACCAGCATGGAGATGCAGTTGTTCAGCTCGGTCTGGGCAGGGGTGGATGGACAGAAACAGTTTGAACCCCGATGGAAACGGGGACATCTCCCCTCCCAGTGTGGGGACAGCCTCGGCATTGTCTGGCCCCAGCTCTGCTCCCCCCTACGTCCCCCACAAGCCACGACCACTCTAAATATAGGCTGTCTCCTGGAAGAAGTCACCCGGGGGTTATTAATACCCTGTCAGCGGGTCCCGGTGCTATTTGTGGCCATCCCAGCTCAGCACATCGCCCCGGGACCAGCCGTGTCCCCCGCAGCCCCCCCTCATGTCCCCCATATGTCACCTTCTGGCCCTGGAAGACGGTTTGCAGAGGGGCCACCTCACAGTCCTTATGGGCACCGAAGACTTTGCACATGGAGCAAGTGGGGACCTCGCAGGTGACGCAGTAGATGTTGATGCGCTCGTCCTCGTGCTCCTTGCACATGGGGTGCTCCCCTTTCTTCAGTGGCCTGCTGGAGAGGGTGGCATGTCATCAGTGACGTCCCCATCGTGGTGACATCTCCATCATGGGGACATCCCCATCCCCGTCATGGTGACATCCCCATTGGGGTGACATCCCCATCATGGTGCCATCCCCATCATGGGGACGTCCCCGTCATGGTGACACCCCTATCATGGTGACATCCCCACTGGGGTGACGTCCCCATTGCACTGATATCCCTGCTGTGATGATGTCCCCGTTGCAGCATTGTCCCCATCGCAGTGACGTCCCCACCGATGCTGCACAGCCACCCGTGACTGGGTCCCCCGGTGTCACCCCACACTTGCTCCTCTGGGAGGCCCCGACGTCTGGGCCTCTGTAAGCCTCAAGACCAGTAAATCCCAATTTAAACCAGTGCGGCACTGAGCATGGCAGCCGTTGGCACTCCAGGGACACTGCACAAGCACCTAAATTTAGCCCTGGGCTGTTGGCATTTATTGTTGTCACCCAACGGTGTGACAGGGGCTGGGGCACCCAGAAACACTCGGAGGGTCCCAGATGGGGGCTGCAGCCAATTGTCCCCTCTGTGATACAGGGGACGTGGGGACAAGCCAAGCCACTGAAGTGAACCCAGCCCCCTGCGTCCCCCCCGGGGCTGCAGACACCTGCCACGTGCCATCTGGGCTGTTGGCATTTATTGTTGTCACCCAACGGTGTGACAGGGGCTGGGGCACCCAGAAACACTCGGAGGGTCCCAGATGGGGGCTGCAGCCAATTGTCCCCTCTGTGATACAGGGGACGTGGGGACAAGCCAAGCCACTGAAGTGAACCCAGCCCCCTGCGTCCCCCCCGGGGCTGCAGACACCTGCCACGTGCCATCGTCCCTCCGTGGCTCTCAAACAAAATTTACAGCGGTGCAGGGAATTTGGCCAGGGCCTCAGCTCTGATAAGCTGTGACCCCCCGAATGTCCCCCCGCAGCTGCATGCTTTTCCCAAGTGGGTCGTGTCCACCCCACAACTGTCCCCCTGTTCCTTATCAGCCACCAGCGCCCACCGTCACAAGCAGAGCCTGGATTTGTCCCCAACACCTCTTATCTACAACAAAAGCTCCAGCAGCAGAGCATGGGGTGAGGCAGGACCTGCCCACTGCCACCACCCCCCTGGGGACCTGCTGTCCCCCTGAGTCACCCAGAGACCCAAACGCCTGTGGCTGGGGTGGGGATTTGGATTGGGGGAGGAAGATTTGAGTCAGAGGAGGAAGATTTGAGTCAGAGGGGGAAGATTTGGGTCAGGGGAGTAAGATCTGGATCGGGGACCATTGAGCCAGCAGAAAACCTCCCCAATTTCTTGCCTGGCTGCCATCTCCTATGGGTTCAATGATGGTGCTGGGGCTTGGGAGGTGGACGTCGCCACATCCCCATGTCCCCTT